ATATAGCAAGAGAGTTCTGAGAAAGAAAGTCGGGGCCTTCCTGTGTGGAGCTTGCCTTGTCTGCCAGGGTTTCCTCTGGACACACTGGCTTTCTCCCACAGATATTCATGTTAACATGTGCTGTAAATCACTTTAAGTGTTTAATAAAACCATAAAAGTGGTATAGAAATTTTAGTTTGACAGGTTTTGTGCTTTAAGCATTCACAAAAATATTGTTGCTGTACATGTTCTAATGACGCTTTAGTGTGTTTGTTCATTAAGAATAAAAAACATTTAAAAATCCAGTGTTGGTGTGATATTGTGCACATTATTCTGAGGCTGTCCAGTAAATATTGTTACCTTATTCTACGCAGTAGTGAAGAAAAAAAGTCTCAGTCTGATATTATCTTTCACACAGGAAGAAGCAGTGGTGAAATCTGCCGTCTGTTTCAAAAACAAGTTGTGTTTGTTTCTTTGATGAAAAGGTTTCATTTAAGTAACAGAAACTCTGTAGAAACTGATAGTTTGTGTTGTAATCAGTGCTAAGATACTGTTTTGTCCAAGAAGCTGTTTCTTGCATGATCAAACCAATGTGTGTTTTTTTGACTCTGTTTTTTACTTGAAGGTGTGAAGTGATGTGCGAATGAGTCTGCAAAGTGTTGCTTCAAAATTAAAACTGCATGATATATGTGCACCGCACTGTGCTTCAAAATTAAATGTCTCCATTATGCAAGCTTATTCTTGTGTTACTACTAAATATGTGTTTAGGAAAATGTGGTATATCCAGATTTGTTTCTATTCAAGCATATTTGTCAAATTCCGTCTGCAGCTAAACTCAAATAAACGTCGTCTCACACTTTGTGGTAGTCTGGCCATTTCCCTGTTTCCGGTTCTGCGTCTTGATGAATGAACAAGCTGTCTAAGAGGTATTTTTACCCGAACAATCATCTTTTGCACAACCTAATAAAGTGACTAAATCGACATTTGAGTATATTACAAAGGAAAGTTCAGCACTGTGGCAGAAAATCTTTTTGAAAATTCCTAAAGATAGAGATCTTCCTTGAAGAGGCAGACTTCAAAATGAAACTTTATTGCAGATCTCAGATTTAACGCCCCCACTACAGTCTCCACTCTGTTGGAGTTTTGTAACAGAATCAATCACATGTAAACACACATGTGATGGTTTCAAAGCACCTTTTCCAAAAACATGTGGAGCAGGCCCACCAGCTGTAAGGCTTTTCTTCTGGGAGATGGAGCTGTATTTTGAGATAATCAACAGCATTCAGCACTGCCAACTTTAACCCCTGAACAGCCTAATAATTAACTAAAAGTAACTAAAATGCATGTGAGGGCAGCAGTGCATCAAATATTCTGCTGGAATTAAATTACTGGGAATATTTTGACAGAAGACTTGCACATGAAGGTTAAGAAATAAAAACAGAAAAAAATGAACAAAGCTTAGGTTCAAGAGTTCAACCAGCTCTTACAGGTGCTTCCTCACTTTCAGAGCTCTTAGATGTAATCAACGCTTCCTTTAGTTAACAGAACAGATGCATTTGCCCCTGGACTTACACAGAAAAAACACTTCCTAATAACAAATTTCATCATGACACTAGAGGTTAACGCAGATAAGCAGGAACTGAAAGTGGCTGCAGTAAAAGGCAGAATGGGAGGAAGTTGCATATTTTAATCTCAAGACAATTAAGACAGCATTTGGTGACATGCATGTTCTAGACTTCAGGCCCTCATTGTTAGCAAAGGGTTTTAATCCAAGGATTAAAAAAATAAAGTTGTTTGAGCCTCTAAAGATGACGTGTGTGTTTGTGTGTGTCTGTGGGGGGTAAAAATAGCACAATACTTAATACAATCATTTTAGTAAAACTATTAAATTAACTTCAATCATATCTTGATTTTTTGTTAGACTTAAAACACCCTGTGGTGATGCACAGAGGCAAGACTGCACAAAAAGCATATTTCTGGAGCTGGAGCTGAATATACTTTGTGGTAAAAGGAATTACCACAAGAACACACCCACGCACACACACAGGCTGCACAGTTGTGACCTTAGTCACAGAGAAGCAGAATGAAAAAGGAGAAGGAGGATGTCCCATATTAGGACATTTTTCATGCCAGTGGTGAGGCATCGTTTCCATATTCAGAGGAATTTATTTTTGCTTATCTGCGTAATAATTTTAAATCGATATTGTGTGACATTTTTGTTTTTAGTCAGCCTCTGCAACATAGTCAAAAACACCATGAAAACAGTCACTTCACAGGTGTACACAGGTGTACGCTAATCACAGAAAACACACTGATGCTCTGAATCCCACACAACTTGTTTGAAAGCAAAACAAAATACAAACAAAACATCATTGCATTTTATTCCACTATGTTAATACTATAAATAAAAACATTTGCTGCACAAATCAACACACAAAAGCTCATCAGCGTTTTGCCCCCCTGCAGGTCAAATGTCTGAGGGGAGGAGTACCAGATCCCCAGAATGTTGTGCTAAAATATTAACTATTAACTATTAACTACTGGGCTATTTCTAGTGTATTGATATGTGAGCTGTCCTTCACGGGTGGCCTTGTTTCCAGGACACGCTGATGTGCTTTGTCTTATATATTTTTGATGTGCTATATATATAATTATATATCTATATTTTAACTAAAAAGAAAAGCTGAAAAAATGCAAATAATGTCAGGAATACAAAACAAACAAAATAATGAGATATACAAGAAAAAGAAGCTAAAAGGAAGATGGAGGTATGTGTTCACTGTGAGAGTTGTTGCAATGCAGTGTTTTTAATAAATAAATAAAAATAAATAAACAAATAAATAAAAATAATAACTTTATCTGGTGATTAACCATTTGCATGAAAAAACAAACAAACAACAGAACTTTTGTCCGACTATAAAATCCAACCTTCTTTTCATGTGTTATACCAAGTATTGTGCAAAAATCTTGAGCCACCAGTTGTTTCTTTATATTTTATTCCCAAGAAGCCAGACTTTCTTATCATTTTTTTTACAGTGCTCAGTAGTTGATGTTGGTCTTTCAAAGTTATTTGCTGGAGATTGGAGATTTTAAAAAACATTTAGGTTCATTGTTACTAGCAGGTTGTCAGAAAAATACATACTTTGCCCATTTCTTTATCTGAATCTATAAAAAAATGCCAAAGATATCACAGTTCAACAGACATAAAATAGCATTTTTGCACCAATAAAGTCCTAAAGAGCTATTAGCTGAATCTTTGGCATACCTCAGCATGGTGTGCAGTGTGTCTCAGTTAGGTGCAGTAAGTGAAGCCGATGATCTTAAGAAATAAAGAAAACACACACTGCCAATTCAGTAGTGTTTTCATGGATGGGCTTAACCAGAGCCTGGGCCTCTACGTTATTGAAGCAGAAAAGATCATCATTACAGAGAACAGAATCAAAGGCAGAGACAAAGAAAGAGCTCTGAATGTCCTTCAGAAGAACCCTGGAGAACTACTGCTGAAGATACTTAAAGAAATTACAAAAGTTCGGACTCTTGAATTTTATGTTTGCTATAATAGCTAGGTTTCATTTGACGTAGACGTGACGTCGACGTAAAGCGCGAAATTTGACTGGCGGTCGGAAGTGAAAAAGATAAGCGCAAAATCACAGACAGACAGTACGCAAAATGCCTATGTCCTGTTGTGTTTACGGATGCTCCAGTAGGTCGACCAGAGAAACTGATAAACGGTATTTTAGGGTACCAAAAATAGCCCAACGAAGAGGAGAAAAATGGAAAATTCTAACCGAAAAACGTAGGAAAAAATGGATTTTAAATTTACGTTTACAGTCGGGAGGAGCAGAGTCTGCCAATGCCCGTGTCTGCAGCGACCACTTCGTCAGAGGTAATGTTATGTTTGCAAACGAACTTATTAGCATTAGCTTGTCGTTACATTCTCGTTTACTTAGTGCTTTTAAGTTAGTAGTCTAATATTGACTTGATTGGGACTATAGGCTGCCCAAGTGCTTTGGATGACGAAGAGTCGGAGGACTGGGCTCCGACGGTCAATCTCGGCTACGAACGAAAACCCAGATCGGAATCAGTTCTCAAACGAGAGAAAAGAATGAAGCTTAAGGCAGAACAGCATCGATGTGCAGAGGCGATTTTGGATATGCAACAGACGGCTGAGAGCCCGGATTTGAGCCTAGTGACAGTGGAGAACAGGCTACTAACCCTGCCATACAATTGCAATGAGCTGCAATCACTTCTCCATCCTCCTTTGCAATTACCCAAGTCTTCAGAGGTGTCTCGTTAGACCGCTGAGAATGGTTTACCTTGAAACAAACAACTGTCACTCTAACGAAGTCCTAAGGATGTGGCATGTTTGTTGACGTTAAAGCCGCTACCGCTAACTGTTAGCGTGTTTAAGATAAAGCAATATAAGAACAAACACTCACCCTTGCAAACACCAAACTGTATCCATCACGGAGACGTTTTGTTCCAAGGTTGTGGACCCACCCGCTGACAAAAGAATTGTACGCCTCCAGACTCTTGAAAGCTTTCATTTGCTGCCTAGTGTAGTAAGAAGTCTGGAGGACCAAGTAGTTGGTGATATCCACAGCCTCGATAGTAGGCAAATCCTTTACTTCTGTGGTGTATTCGGACATTTTCAAAGAATACGGATCACGTCCGATATATTTTTTAACTATCTGTTTATATCTCTCCCGAGAAACGGGGTCTAAAGTTGCACAATAGCTGCTCTCCTGACTCTCCACAGTGTCCTCCATGTTTACTTCCGCCCTCCACCCAAAAATCGCGCTGCCTCCGCACGTCATCAGAACCACGTGACCGCAACCCAACTATTGTACAAACTCTATTTTTGCATGACAGACTTTATTTCCAGGTCTGTTTACGTGGAAATAAAGTCTTGAACGATATATAATATGTCGTTAACTTTTGCTCCTACAATCCTACAATCTAAACACATCTGGTACCTGCACTGCTATTTCCGGAGTGGGCGGGGAGAAGCCTGCGCGTAGGCCGATTCCATGTTACCATAGTAACAGCATAGCCGCAGCTCATCTGTTGGTTGTCCGCAGGAGCTGTGGAAAAACTGCGTTAAAGTGGTTGCTGGGCCATTTTTACGCGCCGCGGAGCTGCAGGGAGCATCTCAGGACCGGGCAGGTAACATGGAGCTGTAATGGTGGATCGTATTCCACCAGATAGCCTTTGAGGTCATGCTTTCACAGCGCAGAAGATAACGTTAGCGGTCAGACCCACAAATTGTGATCAAGCCTGCAGCAGAGTGCGTTACTATTGGAGTAAGACTTCCGCTTTATTTTCAAAATAAAACTACGTTCAATTCAATTTTATTTATATAGCGCCAAATCACAACAACAGTCGCCCCAAGGCGCTTTATATTGTACAGTATATCCTATAATAATAGATACAGAGAAAAATCCAACAATCATATGACCCATATGATAAAATTTTCTCATATTACTGTGAAATCAGAAATTGTGTCAAGCTGTAAATTAAAAAATATAAGTGCGTGAATGCTGATTTTTTTATGTGTGCTGGTTAAAGTGGTTAACAATCGCAGTTAAGGGTCTTTAAATACTTAAAAACAACAGCGTTAGTAAGTGTTTCAATGTGAAGGCAGTTTAACACAGTTTTCCCCAATTTTATTTTTAATTTTTTCTCTTAGCAACCAGTTTAATAGTTTAAATATTCATTATAATATTTTCTGCTCCTTGTGCATGTGACATCAGATGGGCGAGGCTATTAACATCCAGTGTTGGGAAGGTTACTTTTAAAATGTATTCCACTACAGATTACAGAATACATGCCCCAAAATGTATTTTCTAACGTATTCCGTTACGTTACTCAATGAGAGTAACGTATTCTGAATACTTTAGATTACTTAACATATTATCGTGCTTTTTACAACTACATGAATGTACTATTGCTGTGTGATTTATTACTATTACTGAAGGTCCGCGGCTCCGAACCGTAGTAAAGGACCTCTGGCTAATACTTCGGGTTCGTGTTGGGCTCGTAGCAGAAAAATAGCTTTTCTTTGTTGTCTGGGTCAACTTTGATTGCGAGAGAGACGAGAGACAGAGAGAGGCGTTGAAAGACTGCTCCAACGAACTTATTGTTTCGGGGGAAAACACAAACACAGTGTACAGTCGAGTCTTAATAGCGTGCTTACAACTGGGCTTTTGGCTGCAGTGGTTATTATTATATTTACATGCTTCCAGCTCCCGTTTCTGCTCGATGACAACTCGTACTTTTCTCCTTTTTCTCCCTCCATCGCTCACAGACACATAACGGGTATGGTAGTTCATTCTCCCTGCAGCGCGGACTACACTGCTCATGAGGCTACATTCTTTAGCGCTATGCCTGTAACACTCTGCCTATTGCATTCATATTAAATCACAGCCGTTTATTTTCCAACAGAAACCAAACTGCTCGGCATAGCTTAGCACAACAACAACAACAACAACAACAAAAAGAGCTCTCTCACCCAGGAAACACACAGTCGCAGAGAGCGCGCGTAGCTGTCAAACAAAACCCAAACAGTCCTGACCCGCCACAATATGAAACAGGAAAATACCGCTGTGTAATCCATTTATTTCAACAAAGTAACTGTATTCTAAATACCACCATTTTAAACGGTAACTGTAAATACAGTTACTCATATTTTGTATTTTAAATACGTAACGGTGGTACATGTATTCCGTTACTCCCCAACACTGTTAACATCATAGCATAATAACTTATATTAAAGAAACATTTCAAGGAAAGATTTTTCACTGTGTTAAACATTAACCAAAACCACCATTAAAAGAAATTAAAAAAAAAAAAGCTGAAACTGTAACGGTGCGTACACACTGAACACGGTAGACGCGACCAGAGCTTCAGGTGTGAAAAACATCTCAGTGATATCTCTTATATCACTCCCCTTTAAATAGCTGTCCAGACAGAACAAAAGTGTACATTATTTGTTGAATTGTGTTTCTTATTTAATAAGCACTCCTTTTAGAGAACAGTTGATGACGAGCCTGAGGTAGAAAAAGTCTCTTACGAGAAATAACCTTAATGTAATAAGTTATATAATGTGTCTAGATAGAGTTATAGTGTTATTTTCCAGGAATTTCATTTTTTTATTTTATAATACTAGTCACAATAATAATTATTAAAAGAAGAAAGTAATTAATGACTTATTAATAGCTTATCTGTAATTCACAGCTGTAATCACACTCTGAAAAGGCCTAGAAGTTGGCTCTTCGATCTAATCCTCAGTACACACTGCAGTAGCTGCACATCCTTAATATCTGCACAACCTGTGCAGTGTGAACAACACAGTTTACAGTACAATTTCAAGCATATATATTTAATTTGTGTTATATACTGGGAGTTATTCTATTTTATAACTTTATAATATATTCAATTATTTAATTTAGTTTAGATAGTTACTGTTCTTCCTTCTTCGAGCAACTATAACCACACAATTTCCTCAAGGTTTAATAAAGTATTCTGATTCTGATTCTCTTTGAGGTTTGACACCCGTTTTTCCACTTTTACTTTGAAAGAACACTCCCGAAACCGGAAGTTTAGATGCCACAAAGAGTAACATTGTAGCTGCGCTCTTTAGCCGTGTTTCTGTCACAGTTATAACTCGCTATTAATACTCTAACGCCGTAGCTGTAGTTGCTGTAATGAAGTAGCCGGGGGGATTCGTGCCGGCGGGCTAAGAGCCGCAGAGATACGAGCATTGTTAGCTTTCATTTCTTTAATAGCAGCTGAGGTTAGCACAGGGTATTAGCTGCCCTTGGTTTCGATTCACGCTGTAGTTTGGTTCTCCAGCAGGTTCTGAAGGACTCACGATGTCTAATGATCTCGCTGGAGTGTGGGAGGTGGCGCTGAGTGATGGAGTTCACAGAATCGAGTTTGAACACGGGACCACCACCGGAAAGAGGGTCATCTACGTGGATGGAAAGGTGTGCAGTCATACTGTTAGCCGGGGAAACACTGGACGTGTTTTGCTGGACTAATCTTATTTATTAATTTATTTGATTTTATTTGAGTGTTTCTGAGGTCAGCCTCATCAGCTCCTGTGATTTTCTGATTTATGCTCCAGGAGGTCCTGAGGCGGGACTGGATGTTCAAACTGGTGGGGAAGGAAACTTTCAGCGTGGGCAGTTCAGACACCAAAGCCACTATCAATATAGATGCAGTCAGTGGCTTTGCCTATGAGTACACCCTGGAGATCAACGGGAAGAGCCTGAAGAAGTACATGGAGAACAGGTCAAAGGTCACCAGCACCTGGTTGCTCAACTTAGACGGCATTGACTGCAGAGTGGTCCTGGGTGAGCTCCTCTCAGTGTTTGTATCATTCAGCTCTTGTCCTTTTACTTCTGTTACTGTGACAGCTTATAATTATGATTTTTTTATTCATACAGAAAAGCTCTATATTCAAGATTCTGCAAAAATTATGCAAAAAAAAACCCTCCCAACAACCCAAAACATGATCTCATAGGAGAAAAGATGCAACTTATTTTATAGCTTTAATAGGTTATAAAATACAAATATATATCTAAGATACATAAAGCTTTAATTCATCTACATAGTCAGTCAGGATAGATATAGACCTGATATTTAGCACAGTGTGATTTATGCCTCTTCACAGCCACCCTCTAATATTATGCAGTAGCTGAGCCTAAGCTCCTTAACTACTCTAAGCTTGGACCATATACAGCCGTGTCTGTGATCTGGGCGAGTTAATCCTTCATATAATTGTACTGCTTACAGTGGATCAAGTGGCAAACTGCCTTGAAAGCACATGCCGCAAATAACCACTGTGCATTGTCTGCATTTGTAACAGAGATATCCCAGCTGGGAAAGAATGGAAATATTAAACTAAACTTTATATTAAAAACAATCTCTGTGGTTTGTCTTTCACTGTATGTAGTACATTTTGTACTATGCTTTATCCAGCATGTCTTGTTCAACTATTCACACACATTCATACAAGCACTTCTACACCTAAGCGCTTTCCATCTAACAGTCACACTCTGATGAGCACATTGAAAAACAACTTGGGGTTAAGTATCATGCCTAAGAATGCTTTGGCATGTAGACTGAGACAGACAGGAAAATGTAAATTAATCCAGAAACACTTTGTTCAAAGGATTCTGGCAAGACACAGTAAATACAACTTTTATTAAAAGTCAGGTTATCATGTTAAATATTCATTACCCTGATGTTGATCAAGATAACTGTGGTTGTGATTTTTGCTGTAACTGAGCAGCCTGAATTTGGTTCTTGTTGAGAAACAGAAACAAACAAAGACTTGATTTATAGTAGTCAAACAGAGCTCAGCAACTCTTTGGAATAATATACAGCATGAACAGTATATTAGATTAGCACAAAGATAATATCTCTGTGAAATGAACTCTAATAGGCTGTAATTGTGTGTAATTACTCATTTACTCAGTATGCAGCAGCCAGTGTTCTGCCATTGGAGGCATTTTCCATTTTTCTTGTCTTTATAACTCAGTCTGTGCATAGACTCATGTGGTCCTGCAGGTCTGAAGTCTTTGCTCTTCCCTGCCTTCAGTGAAAGTAACTTTATTAGTTCTGTTTAGTGTTTCACTGCAGAGAGCAGATGAATGCAGATAAAGATTAAGGCAAACAAGGGCGTTGCTCAGATCAGACGTTGCATCGCCTTTCAGTCACAAAGTCAATGCTGTGGCTCTTTAACAAATGTCAGCTGTGGTTTTATAATGTCAAGCGGAGAATCATGTGCTGGTGCAGACCATAAATCTGGCTCTTAGTTTGCAGAAACCACCTACAAGTGATTAAATACGCAGAATAGATATGAGTCAGACTAGGACTGGAAACCACAAGACAGATAAACTTTCTCATTCCAGCACCCAGCAACATTACACCTAAAGTTAAAGCTAGTCACTAACCTGCTCTCACTGGCTCAGCAGCTGTGTCTGGGCCAGTTTACTTACATTTTTTTTAAATGCTTATCTGGTAAATATTAATTAAAAAAATCTGTCTTTTTACTTTCAGAGAAAGACACCATGGATGTTTGGTGTAACGGACAAAATATTGAGACTGCAGTAAGTAAAACACGAGTGACATAATACAGGTTGTTATTAGAGCAGCAGTTCCCTTAGTAACAGACCACTAGGGGTCTGTGACCCGGGGACCCTGCAAGAGAGATGGTATAAATCATAGATTCATTAAAGAGTGCTTATGTTGATGGGAGGCATTCACATTAAGGATTAGGCTGTGTGTACTTGTTTTGTGTATTAAAATTTGGTTTGGATATTGTCTTTGTGTTCGGATATGTCATTTTATCTGGGGTGTTGGTCTTATTATATTGAATAGTTAACAACAGTTGTAAAACCATAAGTTGTTTACTGATGATTGTTTGTGTATTCCTGGTTGTTGTTTTATCTGCTCATTGCCTTTGAATATAAATTGATTGGTTGCTTGTGTGGTGCGGTGCATTGTTTTCTTTTGGGATATCATATTGGATCATTATTTTCGTTTGGAACAGGACGCTTCCTTTCTTAGTTCACGCTTTTGCGATTTGCGCCTGCAGGGTGAGTTTGTGGACGACGGCACAGAGACGCACTTCACACTCGGAGACCACAACTGCTGCGTGAAAGCTGTGAGCAGCGGGAAGAGACGAGACGGGATCATTCACACGCTGCTCGTGGACGGCACGGAGATCGCTGAATGCACAGAGTGAGCGTGACTGCGCCTGGATGACAGCAGAGATCTGGTTTTGTATCTGTGACGCCGAGTGAGGGCGCGAGGTGATTTAAAGCTGATAAAGTCAGGGACCAACTGAGAGAAACAATGCATTGCTGCTGTAGTGTGCGGAGTATATTAGCCATATATATACTGGTGAAAGCTGTCCTGTAAATAGCATAGCTGAAGACAAAAGCTAAGTTTGAGCAGTTTTAGAAGACCGAGGGCAGCTACTAATGCCAGAAACAAGCATTTACTGTCTCCAAATGTTCACACTGGATATTTGATGTGTACACTGGTCTTTATAATCATATTAACACTATTAATCTCAGTAATATCATCAACACGGGAGTCCAGATGTGCCACATTATTCTCTCTCAGCCAGGGTTTTAACACAAGCAGCTGCTTTTGAAGAAGTACTGTATCACACAGCCAAATGTTACCAGTGAGCTGTCCCAGTAAACCCTCACCTCATTCTCTCTTACCTTTGTGCTAGCTTTCTTGTATTTTCAAATGTTGTGGAGTGGGAGGTTCAACAACGGGGTAACTTTATTCCTTGAATGTAGCAGTGGACTGGTTCCTGTTCTGGTGTTGGCCTGTTACATGCTTTGTGTTTCCATTGGTTAATTCTGTTGATATGAAGTGATTAGCTTCCAACGGCCTGCTGTTGATGTGTCAGAATATTTACAGGGTGCGTTGTTCTCAGTTTTCACTTAGGCATAAATCATTTACACAGCTGCAATCACTCACTGATGTCCAAACACACTTTAAAGACGTTCTGTTCTCTTTAGAAAGATCTGTGACTGTGTTGTGCTGTCAATTCATGCGGTAGTATCATAGAGTGTATGATGGACAAAGCCACTGTGATGTCACCCACATTTGTCAAAGCCACATTTTTGGACCCTTCAGCTGTCCACTGTGACCCTCTTAGGGTTTTTAAACCAGATGTCACAGAAGCGGGGTCGATCGGTCATTGCCCCCGTTATCGTCTTTCTGAACATCATGTATTAGATATGATGTAAATGTAGTGATTGATACCACTGATTAATTAATGAAGTGTTTACCGAGGTCACAGCTCAAATGACAGAGGGCTCCTTTTCCACTGAAATCTGTTGAGTTTTTTTTCCTGCTAACTACAAGTACAGAAGTCGCCCCCTGCTGGCTATTAGAAAGAATGCAGGTTAAGGCATTTGCTTCATTTTACCAGTATGGAAGCTATGTCCATCTTATACATGCAGTCTATGGATAATACAGAATTTGAGCTAAAAATATTTTAATAAAATCATGGTTATTAAATATTAAGGATTTCTCCAGTGTATGTGAAGCAAATGTTTGGTAAGAGACGTTCACTAAGGCTGTACTCACACTAAGAAAGCTGTGCCATGCCCGAGTATGTTTGTTTCCCATTTTCCAGTTTGTTTGACCAGACTGCTGCATGCTCCACCCCGGCAGGGTTACATGAACTGCTCCAGTCCAGGTTCAGTTGGACTCAACATGTGCATGTTATGTGACCACTAATCGTGCACAAGTACTTACATGTAACTCCAGCAGTTGTTCAATGACAGCTGCCTGTGTGAAAATCACTGTGTTCAGCACTTCACAAATCTATAAGGCATATGAGAGGATGAAGTGTCAGCACTTTAAAATGAAACTGGATGCATAAAATCATGAACGTCACTGTAGACACACACTGATGCACACTCTGAGCCCAGACTGTTAAGGGTGAGTGCAGGCGATCAGTGGAGTGGTGACGAGGCGACAGCCATGATGTGTGTGAGTACATCCTCACTGCAATTGGAACCCAGATTTACTCAAACACTGAGCCAATCCAAACTGGGTTTAGGCATTAAAGAAAGTACTGTTGGTATCTAGAAAGAAAGCGCAGTGACAAGATGGCATGTAGGAGATTTTGAACTGAGATTTTTGACCCTGCTGCATATATTTCTATGAGTTCCTTTTTCTAGGTGCAAAATATACAGAGAATTCTTAAAGCTCACAAATTGATTTACTAATGTTTGCAACACAATTTATTGCTAATCCTGATAATATTTAATCCAGAATAAAACATGAAAATGTTTCCAATTGTTATTTTTGTGCTTGATATTAAAATGAGCTGACTGTGTGTGTGTGTGTTGGAAACATAATACGTTTTGTAAATCATTGGTAAAGTTAACCACACCTTTGAGCTCACATGCCGTTTTGCCCCATGTAGTAAATCTGGCCAACTTAGCAAACTTCATCTGCTGATGTCTGTGAAACTGAACTGAAATGCAGCTGAAAGCTTCGTGAAACGGACACACTATTTGTTTTTCCTGTCAAACTGTTTCAAGGGTCAAAGGTGAAAATGTTTCATGCTCAGTAGACTGTGACATTGTATAGTTATGATTACCTTCTCACTCTGTTTTTCATGTGTCGTGTATACAGGAATAATGTTTATACATGTATTTCATTTTGTAAGTTGTTTAAATTGTATTTTATTTCATAAAATTTGTGTAGTTGATCAGGTTTTGTTGTTGAGCTTTAAGTTAAAAAAAAAAATCTGGACACACTTGAAGCTTTGCTGTGTTTAATAGTTGTTTTTCCATATTTCAGTAAATGTTGTTACAACAAAAATATAAAAACAAAACATAAAATAAGTCCAGATTCCTCAAACAAACAACAATTTTTAATTTTATTCTGACATCAACACAGGAAAACTGTAACTACTCATGTCCATTATGACTCATTCTCCCATTCATCATGGAGTTCACCACCACCATTATTTTATGGACAAGCAAAGCTAGAATAAAGTCTTTTCATATTTATTGTGGTATTTGCTGTTATAATCATGTCTAAATTTATGGAGTCATGAGATGCCACTAAACAAATGAACCCTTTCAATCTAAAAACTACAGTGTTGTTGATATAAAACGCACATTAAGCTTAATCTTGATCTCTAAACATATGATTGGTTCTACTCCTTGCAGCAGTGCTATGATAAAATAGATTTTGATAACTTGCTGCTGCCATTATTCAGCAATACATTATGAGAAAAATAAGCCCAGTCATTCCTTCATGTTTTGCTACTAATATCCATTATATCGAGTCTATAACTGATACAAACCTTTCTTTTTTTCTAACAGTAAATATGCTCATTTTGGATCTCCTTGAGCTTGTTTTTTCTCACAGGTGATGATGTACCTGGGCAGGGCTTGATAACTGCTAAATATGACAGAGATGTCAGACCCTCCACTCACACTGTCATACCTAACTTGTGACTCTGTCCCTTTAGCAGGTGGCAGAATGAGACCTCGCTGACCCTCTGTGGAGTCCCCTCTCAGCACGTCAGCCTCCACAAAGTACAAATACTTATCCTTTTCCTCCTTCCAAACATCCATGGCCTCCTTCACTGTCCCAGCAAAGTAGATGCCTTCTCCATATTTTGGGTCTAGATCCAGACAGGAATAAATATGTTTTGTTACTAGGTGTGTTTTTATGATATTATCTGTAGCTTTGATATATATAATGTTAGCATACCTTCAGGTGGTGCACACTCTGCATGGAAACCAATCTGGCTAACCATCTCACAGAACTGTGCAGGTATGCGCTGAAACATTTTCTCAGAGGAGCACCCCAGCTGGTTTTTCTTGAGGTCAAACAGCTTCTTCAATTTTGAGTTCTCCACTTTATCCACCTAAAAATAGAACATTTCATTCTGAAATAAGGCACAAGGCTTATTTATATAGAGTAAGAAAGTAATAAACAACCAAATCCCTAAGCTTAATAGTAACCCACGAAAAGTTGAGGAACATTTTATGAAACATAATTTACCTTTAATATCCACAGATCAAGATTTCTAAAAGCAGGTATTCTTTCTTTGAACTCCCGGTGTGAGTTGTCCACTGTTTTTGTCTTTCTTTCTCTTTCACAAGGCATTTCAGCTAACAACTTGCACATTTCATCCTCTTCCTCTCTGACAAACTCCTCCTGGACAGTGCAGAGCATGGCCTCCGCCTGCAACGCAGCACCCACAACATCCTCAGCCGAATCCCCATCTACTGTTAGGCAGGCGTGACCCTTGGACAAAAACTCCTCAAACTTAACACCCTTTCTGGTTAAATGAGAGAGCTGCAGGTATTCTCTTTCACCGAGGTGCTGGATGAAGTTGTTGTAGATAACCATGGGGCGAGGGGGCCTGACGAGAAAGTGAGTGAGCCATTTTTCAGCCTCACATAGTGATTCTTTAGAACAGCTTCTCAAACTGATCTGCGGAATTGGAGCTTTGTTGAATCTGAAGGCTTCTTTGTTATCATATGCTGGTGGAAAAGGCAAAAAGAAACATCCTTACTCATACCACTGGACTCTATAGAAACTCAAGCTTTGTTATATCCTACTTTTTTTAATACTTGTATCTTGACTAAGAAAGCTATTCATTTAGGACACATTCATTAGCCTTGCTGATACATAGCATTTCTGACCTTGCCTATGGGAGTTGAAGTGTTTCACTTCATCTTGTGTAATGCTGGTATGGGGTGTGTTATGCTGGAGAGATTTAATTTTTTCCTTGAAGGCCTGGAAAGAAAAGGGCATTAACAACATATTTCTTAGCATGCGATAATTTGCAAAACATTAATAACATTTCTCTTTGCTTTTTTTTTGCAACTTATGCCTAAAAATAATCGTTGTTTAAAATATTACAAATCAGATATGGTAACTGACATGGTAATTTGAATCTAAATTCTTGAAAACATTTTTGAAATACAACCTGAAATGTTCCATAGTCTGAAGGAAATATAACAAAATAAATGTCCATCTTCCCCCCAAATGTTTTGGCAAACTCAACCACTGCCTCGGACATAATGCATGCAGCTTCTTTTTTAGTGAACCCAAGGTTTCCTGTGCCAATAGCAGGAAAGGCGACAGACTTGTGTTGTCTTGCAGCTGCTGTCTGTAAGCATTCCAATACTGAATTGAAAAGAAACTGTAAAATAAATGGAGAGAAAGATGCAATTAGATTTGTGAGTCCAATGAGACTCCTCAACACTTTGGAGTGCATCATGATTACTACACCAGACTTTCTATTTCCATCAAAATGATCCATAACGTATCAACTTATAATGTACCTTATGTGCTGCTTCTTTTCCATTATTAATGCAAAATGTATGATACACCTCTCTACACCCCAAGTTGTAGGCTTTTGTGACGATGATATGTTTAGTCCGAGGAGCATTTTCTATTTCATTTTGCATTTTCTGACCAGCTTTCTTCAACAAAGCTTTAGAGACCTGACCGACTTTCAGGTCTCGTTCCAGTGATGTTGTGTTTACAATGACATCGGTCTGAAAGGATACAAAAGATGCTTAGAAATAAAAAATTATGCTAGAACAAAACTGTGGATTTTAGGTACTTTATATCTTCATAAATCCTAAAAATAGCTAACTCAAGCTCAATATACAAGAAATGATTGGCATGAAGGTAATGTAAACTTGTCATTCAACTAAAAAGTAAATAGCAATCAATAATAATGATTATTTTGAAGAAACAATACAGATTTTTACCTTCTGTTCTTCAATGTTATCACTCTTCAGTGCCAAAAGGACATTCCTAATCTGGATGGAAATGTTAGATGTTTTGGTAGCACCACTGGTGTGGGTTCCTGGTGCCTGCCCTTGCGGTACTAACTGGTAGTGCTGGTGAGGGGCTAGAATCTTATGGCAGGCGTTCATCATTTCTGTGACCGTTGGCTCATCGTGGTTCACAAAGAATATCTCTCGAGGAAGATTCCAGCGGGAAGAGGAGAATCCATAGTAGTCTCTCACAGTTGATACTATAGTTTCAGCACAATCTGACAGGGGGTAGTTGAACAACCCAGAGCTTATAGCTGGAATGGCAACAGTGTCCAGTTGATCTTTGTCAACTCTGTCAAGAATGCTCCTGATAGCCTGCTCCAACTGTCGTTTGGCTTGTGAAAATTCAGAATAAGTGGGCTTAATTGGCAGACATGGACCCACAGCATGAATTATCTTCTTGCAAGGCAGCAACCCAGCATTAGTGACAATTGCTTCTCCTGTTGGTATGGGACCATGTTTGTGTGTGTAATCGTCACTCTCCATTTGGATTTGAGGACCACCAGCTTCACACAGAGCATATGCAAGGCCACCACCATGATGAAGACTGCAGTTGGCAGCATTGACAACAGCCTCTACTGGGAAATTGGTGAGATCAGCCTTCCACACGGACACCTCAACACCTGCACGCAGCTTGACAGAAAACCTCTTCTCTGGTGTAACAGTCTGCCTCTTCTGCTGTCCAAAGCTTGCATCACTCTCAAAATCCACACCTTCAAAGGTGGCCACACATCCAAATTTGCTATCAAGGATATGACTCAGAGCACGTCCAGTTTGTTTTACAATGTTGAGTGAAAATTCATGAAGAGCAATATCTGATTTATGGGCCATGGTTCCTGAAGAGATCTATAGAAAAAGATTGTGTAGGTGAATCACAGAATGACAAGAATCACACCTCAGGGTTTTAGAATGAATCAGGACCATATGCACGGAGTGAACATAAATGACACACCTTTAGCACACAAATAATTGAAGCTAAAATCTATCTAAGAAGTTTGTACTGTTGTGAATTTAGTTAGTGCATTAGTATTATTTCACAATATTGGTCTATCAAAGGTTTAGACTATATTTTTAGTGTATGCACATATATATTACATATATATTACCACTCAGGTCAGGGTAATTTAGAAATGTCCTTGTTTTTGAAGGAAAAACACAGTTATTTTTAATCTAATACAAGAAGGATTATAACTAATTACTTAATGGTCAACAGAGTCATTAGTTGGCCATTAATTTGACTGATCAGTTAGGCTCATGTTGAGTCAAAAGGGATGTTATTGAGAATGTCTTCAAATCAAATAGTAATTGCAGAGGAGTTATTAATCAAACCAGAACACCATAAATTTTATTAATAAATTAAAGTATAGGAAAGTAGGCAAGAAATTGATTACTGTTTAAATAAAAACACATTATTCAGCATACTATTGTAATTTTATTACAAAACTTTTACTATATTACAAAAGTACATACAATTTCTCTGTACAGTATGTGTGGAGCCTGTGTGCAACTTTTATTTTCACTGGAAACACAACCACCAAAAACCCATTCACTCTAGGCTGCACACTTTGGGGTTAGTAGTAAGGATAATACCCATATTTATTTAATACTTTCTACAGTGTCATCAAATCAAACATATTCTCCTTTGCGACGAGCAATAACTTGAAATGAAGGGGCGTAGGTTTCCATAAATTGCTTTTATACCTTCACTACAGTAGAGGGAGACAAAGACGAACAAATGACACTCTGACTTAGGAATTTTTTTTTTACCAGAAACAAAAGGTTGCACACCTGCATGCGTCAATATAAACAGTTTATTGTGCTTAAATAGCGCTTGAAGCTTTTTTTTAAATAAAAAGTATTTTGATTAGTTTCTTAAAATGGCACCCTTACATGAAAAGAAGAAAAATAAATATTTTATTGTTTCGCGTTTGTGTGACGTTTCACACAAACCCCGAAAACGTTCACGAGTCAACAAAACAAGTTGCTGGATGCAAATGACTAGCAAACCCTAATCGATTAATGATACACAGAAAAACCATTAATTGAAATAAATCATAATTTTAGTTTAAACAAATAAAGAACGTTTATTGCGCAGAAGCCAGATACTCACCGTCGCACACTTTCAGCTGGAAAGTACCGAAGTGAAGGAGAAAGCGAAAGAATGAAAAGAGGGCGCGGACGTCTCCAAACTGCCTCCGTGGACTGCAGCCAAGTGTAAAAAGGTGTTTTTCAGGCCTTTCTCTGTAGCTGCACCCCGGTCTGAGCCAACCCTTCAAGGCCAAACGCCACAACACGCCAATAAAAACTGCGTTTCGTTTCACAGGAAACAAAAGTGAAACTAGTTCAGAGCAGACAGCAGCCGGCCTGTGAAGATGGCCGGCGTACACTCCTATCCTCTGCTCGTTGAGCTCGAAGAAACCAAAATACCCAGATTAAAAATCAAGTTAGTGAAATACTTTCAAAGTAAGAAATCTAACGGTGGTGGCGAGTGTGAGGTGGAGTATGAAAATGGCAGCAGGACGGCGATGGTGCGCTTCCGGAGAGAGGAGGGTAAGTTTGTCACAATAACGTCATGTTTGCTTTATTTAAGCAGCTACAATATTACTTATTATCAACGGAGTTATGTGGTGACATGTGTTTGTGTTGTGTCACAGATCAGAGAAACGTTCTGGCCAAAGAGTCGCATCAGATCAGTTTGGAAAAAGGCGTTTTGAAGCTGACGGTCCGCTTACCCACGGAAGAGAAATCATCACGGGTGCGAAAAGTTTGTCATGAATCATTTATCAACAACTGTTCTGTTCTGTGTACCTCAAATCTGTTCTTATATTGACGATGCTATTTATGAGATAAGGTTTCACTGTTGATAGTGCGCCGTGAAACTTGCGCACCTATAATTTCTGTCGGACCCTCCTGTTCTCAAAAGGAACTGCGAGAATATTCAATTATTCCTCAGCTTTGTGTGACCCTTGAGCCCCTCTACAGACTCCAAATTATCATTCAGTTCCATTGAAATCTGACCATGTTTATCTTTTACTGGAAGTCATGTGACTTTATAAAGCTAAAGCTGTGCTGCACACTGCTTCTCTTCCTGCCGTGCGGATATTGTAAAAGTCAAACTCACTGCTCGGAAAGCATTACTGGGTGCGGTTTTCCTGACAAAGCTGACAATGAATTTGTTTGCATGAATTACTTTTTGGACCAGCAAATATTTATGGCGCTTTCACACACACACACACACACACACACACACACACACACACACACCACACACACACACACACACACAAATGTGACTAACGTGTATTTTTTGTATTTTCTTTATACAGGAAACTCCGTCTGATAAAGATAAGAAGAAATGTAAGTACTGAGTGAGCAGAACTGTGTTTATAACCACTAGTCTAAAAGATCAGGAAGTCCTTTCACTTGTCCACCCCTATAGTTTATCTACTTTTAGTATACACCACTGTCCACTTTATTAGGTGCACCTTGTTAGTATCCTATTGGACCCAAATTCTGACCCTAACATACAAATATCATCAGATTAATCAGACATTGCTACACTTTCAAAAAAAAAATATTGTCCAGCTTTGGTGAGTCTGTATGAACTGTGGCCTCAGTTTTCTGTTCTTAGCTGACAGGAATGGAGAACAGTGTTGGTCTTCTGCTGTTGCAGCCCAGCTGCTTCAGTCTGTGACATGTTGTGTTTTTCAGCATCCCTCAGTTGTAACAAGTCGTCTGACCATTATCCTCTGATGGCTGAGATCACCGAGCCATTGCTGCCCCACAGAACTGCTGCTCACTGCATATTTTCTCTTTTTTGACCATTCTCTATAAACCCTAGAGGTGGCTGTGTGGGAAAGCCCCAGAGCTTCTGAAATATTCTGATCCGCCCACCTAAACACCAACAACCACAATATATACTAGAAAATCTCTAGATTACACTCAGCAGGCTAACTGTGCCAATGTTAGCTATTACTGCAATACTTTGTACATCTTTGCTTTGAGCCATTGCATGCTTTACTGATGGCTAAAGTTAACGCCATTTGAAATCATTTAGTATCGTAGGTAAAGTAATTTCACAAGCTAGCATTTCTACTTTGTTATGATTTTACTACTGATGACTTTCACAAACAACATTCTGTTTTCCAGCTAGTTGTTAACTTAACACTTCACAAATCTAGCAGTGCTACTTTGTGACACTGGAAAAGCTGAGTTAACACAACAGCCCTGGGCGTCTGATTAATCAAGTGATCTCATCCACTTGAGGCAGGTTGTCTCAGGTAGTTTTCTCAGACATTCACTGTTTTTTTCAGATGAGTAGCAACTCCCCACCACCAAACACAATTTGGAACTAATCAGTGTTTGTACTGTATTACACGTCCAGCATTTCCTATTTGGCTTGCCTTTCATTTATACTGTTTTAGTTGAGTTATTATTTGAAGTTAAATATTTGTATTTAACTGATGAATTCAATACGTGTGAGACCATGGAAAGTACCTCAGGTTCTGTGACCCTTTCTGAACTGTATTTGCTAGATAGCTTGTGATTTGTCTGTCTAGCTAGCATTAGTAAGAAGAAAACAAAACAAAGAAAAAATGAATCTGTGAATCAAAATTAGACAAGCTGACAAGCTTTATGTGATAAAACTGCCTCTCTCTCAATAAAATATCCAAAGCTTCATGCTGTTTTAACATAGTGTGCTTTACACTTCAAGACTGGTCGGATACACTAGATGTCTCCTAGACATTACGTCAATAAGACCATACAAAGTCTGATTATTTTTTTAAGTCGATATTAATGATTATTCTTATTTTAATTAATTTATTGATTAGTGTGAAGCAATAGCTGTGAGTGAAACACCAAAATAAGTAATTAAAATATAAGTGTTTTAAGTCTTGCACTATCTAAAAAGTATATGTTTGTTACACTTGGCCACATTTGTCTTTAACAGCAGATGTTGCTGCAGACAAACAGGCGAGTGCTGATAAAAGCAACCCGACAGTTCAAACAGAAACAGAAGGCGGAGACGATGATACAGCAGATGAAGAGCCATGTTCCACCTCGGCCGTTTTAGGGAATATTCTTGATAATACCAACCAGGAGTTCTTGGAGATGCTGGTGGAAAACATCACTAAGTCTCATGACTTCACTTTGGAATTCTTTCCTGACATCTCCTCTGCTGTGGTGACTTTCCAGAGTGGAGAAGGTACCCATTTCAGAATGAAAAGTTCTTATTTATGATATGATAATATAAAGTTTAACCGGCCGTTTGATGCTGAAATCTGTATTGCATAACCAGGTCCAACACTCATTAACATAAAACAACATAAAAATATGCCACAAATGTAATAAAGGAATTTTCCAGGACAATGTGGCCATTTTATTTTCCTGAGTTAGAATGACAAAGTTTTCTAGCGCACTAATGCACAGGATAGCAAAGCAACACAGACTACTGGTAGTGTAATGTACCTTGCTAATTATAAATGTGCTGATACTTCATTCTGAAAAATGGGTGTACTCATTATTAAATCAACAAAGAAGATTTATCCTGCAGAATTGTTTTATTAAAAATGCCTTAAACCGTTTTTTAATCTCTATTTCACAGAAAATGCTAATTTTGTGGCAAAATGCCCCAAAACAAATGTTCACCAAGAAGGGATTTTCTGTTCAACCTCTCGAAGTCACAAAGCAAGTTCTAGTTGACGACATTCTACACTTCAGTGAAGAAGTTCTTCAGCTTTATTTTGAAAATGAAGGTGGGGATGTGGAAGAGGTCTTCCTTAATGAAGCGGAACAGTCTGCTGTCATCACATTTAAAGATCATCGAGGTAATTTATTTACACTACACTGTATGTTCCTGCAAACCTACAGTAATAACTTGTGAATAATAATATACAGTATGTTACATTCTTTTTTCCAGCTGTTCAAAAAATCTTCAAGAAGAAGCATTCCATAAAAAAGGAAGAAATCAGAGTTTATCCTTTTTATAAAAGTCTGGGAGTGGCCCTCTACGGCAAAGACAAACCTGCACTAAAACTTCCCGCTGCCATCTCAGAGCCCATTGACAGTGCTGTCCTCAGATACCTAGCTCAAAATAAATCAGCAGCAGAGACCATTTGCAGTGAAATGGACAAACACTTCTGCATCGTAAACCTCGGCCAAACCACTGTGACCTTGAGTCCTGTATCTTCTTTACTAAAGCAAAAGGATGCCAAAGCCATCATCAAAGAGTGGACTGATACTGTGAAGTCAGCGTTTGCACAATCTGTGTCAAAGTTCAAATCTGTGAAGTTCTGTCCAGATTCAGATGCATGGAAAGAGTCTGAGAAAAGATCAGAGAGATGTTACTGAATGAAAATGTGATTGTAGTACCTGATAAAGACAGAGGTGCTTTATCAGTGGCTGGTCCTGTTAGTGATGTCAACAGACTGGAGAAATCTCTTTCTGAAATTATTAACAAGATTGCAAAAACGATCCACAGGGACAAATCAAGTAAAACCGAAGAGATCAAAGTGTCACCATCAGTTTTTCATCTCCTGTGTCAGAATGGCCTCATGGACAAACTTCTACTTGTGTATCCAGAACTCAAATTGGCACCAGAGAGTCCTAATCTGAAAATAACTGGTTTGGGGGAAGAGATTAATGCAGCAAGCAAAGTTATATTTGATGCAGTACTTGCATTAAAACGACAGAATCTGGAAGTAGATAAATATGTGCTTGAACTGTTGAAGGATGAGCAACAAGAGGAGCTTACAGATGCTCTCCTCACATCTCATCAAATAAACGCAGCGTTTGAAATCAGTGGAAACAGGGTGCAGCTCCTTGCTGTTTCTGACACAGATCTGTCTCATGCTCAGGACCATCTAGGACAGCTGTTAACAACTCAGTACATTAATGTTGAAGACAGTAATGTCCTGAAGAAGCCAGAGTGGCAGCAGCTGGTCAGTCACTTAGAGCAGGCTAACAGTAAGCCATGCAGAACTCGAATCAACACAACTGCTCAACAAGTCGTGGTGTCAGGCTACAAGGATAGTGCCATAAAGGTTCAGCATCAGCTTGGTGACTTCTTAACACAGAACGCTCACATAGAAGAAACTGTTGTGGTCAAAGCTAATGCTGTCGTTAAATACTTGGAAGAGTTCAACACATCTTGGATGGAGAAAGTGAAAGACAAGGTGAGAGTGTCTTACAGAAATGAGGCCATCTGTCTGAGTGGATCCAGAGTGAATGTGACACATTGCAAGACTGTGGTTGAAGGTGCCGTCTCTGCTGTAGTCTTTGACAGTCTGAATGTTTACAAGTCTGGAGTGAAGAAGCTCTTCCAGGAAAATGAAGCTTATTTTTCCACAATCAAAACTAAAACTGGTTGCCTGGTTCAACTAGTTGATAAGCCAGGTGGTGGACAAGACAATGTTAAACAAGTACCAACACCTTTATACCAACTTAAGATGCCTGGAGGAGTAGAAATTGCTGTTTACAAGGCAGATATGTGCACTTACCCAGTGCAGGCAGTTGTTAGTCCATTTAATCAAGACTTGAAACACAGTACTGGTCTTGCAGCAGCACTTTTGAAGGCTGCCGGCCCTCAGTTACAAGATGAATTTTACAAAATGAAAAAAACAAAGGGTCAACTCAAGCCAGGAGACTGTGTCATAACTGATGCAGGAGGAACACTTTGTTGCCAAAAGGTCATCCATGCTGTGGCACCCAAGTATGAAAAACCACAGCAAGCTTCAGCTCAGTTGAACAAAGTTGTTAAAGGAAGCTTAGAATTTGCTGAGGCCCACGGATGCGTCTCAGTAGCTCTTCCATCTATTGGCAGAGGAATGCGCTGCTTTCCCCTCAAGCAGTGTGAACTCACCATTGTTAAAGCAGTGAAGGAGTACTGTTATGAGAACTATGATGACATTACCTTGCAGAAGATCCATTTCGTGAACAATGACGACATTGCTGTTCAGGATATGGTGGCTGCTGTCAGGCAGGAGTTTGGAAACCTCAGTGACTCTCATTTTCAACAAACTCCTCATCTCACTGCTCCCACACAATCAGTATCACAGTCTACTGGATCTGACCTGTGTCTGAATCGTGTGCAGACCAAAGAAGGCGTGGACATCGTTCTTACAAAGGGAAACCTAGAAGCTTCCACGGTAATTCAGATTTTGGCTGTTTATATCTAATTAAAGTGAATAATAAATAAATTAAGAGGCAAATTGTCCAGTACAGGAACCAACGACTGCATGCATTAACTATTAACATGTTGCTATAAAGTGTCTTTATGTTGAATAAATTTCAGGGGTTAATCTGGAGGGGGGGTAGTACATGATAAATATGTACTAACAGTCTGCTAACCATTTTTAGACGGAGGTGATTGTGAACACTGTGTCTTCAGACCTTGACCTCAACACAGGTGCAGTCTCACAAGCCATCTTGCGCGCAGCCGGACCCAAACTTCAGCAGTTAGTAGATGCGCAGGGTGCTACTGGAAATGTTGGTGAGATCATTATTACTGATGGCTGCCAACTAAAAAGCAAAAAAGTCTTTCATGCAGTCGCACCTCACTATAAGGATCAAGCCACATCTGAAAAGGTGAAGTACCTGACATTATAAGGTAAACGTTTAAGCTTCGAGGTTAAAAAGCCTGTCTGATCCAACTTTCATGTTGTTGTTGTATATATAACTGTCTTACAGACTTTGAGAGGAATCTTTAAGGACTGCTTGAACATGGCAGAGGATAATAATCTAACCTCCATATCCTTATCAGCCATTGGTGCTGGAAACCTGGGTTTCCCAAAAGATCTCGTAGCCTCTTTGTTGTTGGATAAAATCTTAGAGTTTAGCAAAAAGAAACACCCCAAGCATCTGAAGAAGGTCGTGATTGTACTTTACCCCAGTGATACACAAACTATCCAGGTAAGAAAAAATAACAAGCTTTGAAGCAACACATTCTCAGTGCTAACCAGAAATCTTTTAGGTCAATTAACCATCAGCATTTTTAACCAGTAAAATCTATTTTTCTTTTGTTTCCATTGTAATCTTCTTTTGCTGGGGGTAGAAGTGACCATATGGGGACAATATTATCATCTAATGCCAGAAAACCTGGCATACTGCATCCATATACTCTGATATTTTATCTCAGAGATTTTTATACTTTTTGATCACTGTGTAGTCATTAGACAATTTTAGCTACCCTATTGTTTTTTTTTATTGTTGTAATTTTAATGTTTATCGTACATGTTAAATCTCAATGGGACTACTTGTATAATTGAAGGTTGAATTAAAAAAAATAATTGGCAACAAGTAACAAAAAATTAATTAATTAATAAAATACTAGTATTTAACTCATCAAAACGTCTTGGAAGGCTGTTAGTAATATTAACCATGTTGACTCAAGTTAGCAGAGATAAAGTACAGCACACAAATGAACACACATATTTCTTCTATGGGCATGGGGCTTACTTTTGGAGACAGCCTCCAGTAGTAATTAAACTTGTTCTGTTGTGTTATTTAGTTTCAGGTTTGGTGTCAAATTGGTGAGATTCAGTTGAAGTAATCGCTCTTCTTTTTTTCTGTCTGCAGGCTTTCAGTGATGAATTTCAGAAGAAGTTTCCCAGCGCCTCAAGTGGTTCAACAAGTTCTACACAAAGTAAAGGCAGGCAACACTGTTTGATATGCAGTTGCTATATAATGCTACCAAATAAAACAATACAAACTAAACAAAAAATGGATGTATTTTTGCCTGTTTTCAAAGAAATGTAACAAAACAGTTAGTACAAACATTTGTACTAACTGTAATAATAAACTGTATTATTTGTCCATATCCTAATGGACAATTAAATTAGTAGTCAAAATTAATGAAGTTCTGTTTTGTAATAATTTATTGCTGATAATTCTTTATTTTCGTCCATTTCCAGGAGGCCCCTTCTCTAAAATCACCTCAACCTCAGACATGCATGAGACCAAAATGGGCAATGTGACTATACAGGTAGTAACAGGAGACATAACCAAGGAGACCGCTGATGTCATTGTCAACTCCTCCAATGAAAACTTTACTCTTAAGTCAGGTAAAAAAACTTTACTCTTAAGTCATCATAGTAAGAACTACAGTGCTTGAGCTGTGCCAAACCGTTAACAGCGGTTGTTATTATTTTTTTCCTGCTCTAAATATTTATTTTGACATATAAATATTAAAGATATTATAATAATATTTAATTTAATATTATATATTAGACATAATATATATTTATATATTAATATTTAGGTACAATATAGAGGATAATATGTAAATATAGTCCACATCTTTAAAGTATTTTTAGATAATAATACACAAATAAGAAAGAAGGTCACAAAGTAATTGTATCTTTCAGATTATATGTACAGTATGTATTCAATGGTGATGTAACCTTTGCCTTCTCCAGGAGTGTCTAAAGCTATTCTAGAAGCAGCTGGTCCGGCTGTTGAAGTGGAATGTCGCAACCTTGGTAAGAAATCACACCAACTTTTTATAACGCTGTAACTCAGAGTTGGCACCAGATAGTATGGCCTTGTACACACTGAAATTTTTAATAAGGCTCATTAACATACGTTACCTTCACCTTTAGGTGCTGAGCCCAACCCAGGCATGGTATTGACGAGCCCCGGTAACCTGAAGTGTAAAAAGATCCTCCACCTGGCTGGACAGACAGACCCAGTAAAAATCAACAAGA